GTGTGTGTGTGTGTGTGTGTGTGTGTGTGTGTGTGTGTGTGTGTGTGTGTGTGTGTCAGAGACAGGACGATGGATGGATACTAACTGGCTTTTCCTGGCCGTGGTCTCTGTAGCAGCCGCTGAGCTGTCAGCAGGTCCTCGGTCTTCACGGCCTGGAGCAGCTCCTGGTCCTTCCCCATGTCACTTCCGACCCGCGCCGGTCCTCTCGGTCCACCTCTCTGCCTCTGAGCGMCCCTCTCTCCTCCGTTAATCCGCTGCTACATCCTGCCGCCGCTCCCGGCCTCCCGCTGGAGCTGTCGCGCGGAGGGAGGGGACGGGATGGGATGAGGGCTCCTCGGGACTGGGACGCTCCGATACGGCCAGCGCAGGTCCCCCGGCGTCCACCCTCCACCACCACTCAGTCCGTGCGGCAACACCGACCCCTCCCACGCGCGCGCGCRCACACACAAACGCTCTCACAGTCTGACCGAACCGTCCGGACCGGACCGGACTCCGTCGGGATGCGCTCTCTGGCCGCGCAGGAGCACTCGCGACAGAATGCACATCTTCTACCCGCGTGACGATTTCACCGGGTCTACGTGCGTCCGTGCGTGAAAACGGTGGAGCTCGAGCGCCCTCACGGTGGGTCAACGTTGAAGCCCCCACCCCACCACCCCTGGCCTCAAGCCCGCTGGTCGTGCTCGCGTGCACAAATATCCACAATTATTTACGAGTCATAAGCAAAACATATGGGAGCGCGTTCCAGGGCTGGGATTTAAACCCTGTGTTTGCGCGTGAGGGTGAGGCGCGTGTTGGTGAAGCACTTCCTGGGTCACTGTAACCCCACGGGGCAATTTTGTAAATTAATGCACTGTAAAACATGAAATGTTGGATTTACTTAACCATGTTATGAGACCCCGTTCCACTTAACTGAGTTGAGTAAATTCAAAGCAATATACCAGTTTTTTAACCAAAGAACATGAGTATGTTGCTTTGAATTTACTCAACTCAGTTAAGTGGAACCAGGTAACATAACACGGTTAAGTAAATCCAACATTTCATTTTTAGAGTGTGGATGTATAACTTCTAGAGGTTAAATGGTTGTGAGCAGGTTATATTAAAGTTTGGATTTTAAAAAGTTGAGTTCTGCAGAAAGATTATGAATAAAATATCTATAGACCAGGCTTTAGACAAAGTTTGAGTCACAAAATAGCTACCTTAAGGTATAAAAAAGCCAGACCGAATTGACTCAGACATTTAGAGACAAAGTTTTAAAAACAATCACAGTATTTAAAGTAAAAAAGACTCTCAGCTTGTACCTCTACATATAATTTTAACTCTATCTGTAAAACTGACTGAGTTGCAGGCCTTTTTTTATTATTTATTTATTTATTGTTTGTGTAAGATCTGTTGTGACAGCCATCTTGGCTTGGATTCACTCCAAATATTTTTTGAGATTTACATTAAAATCTGTCCATTGATACACGATAAATGTCGCCAAGACAAACACTATTTCCCTTTGAATATAAATGTTGCTCAAAAGTGTTTCACAATTTCACTCAAAGTGTGTCAGCTGATATTACATCAACATGCTTAAGGTTAATGAGACAGAAATATATTGAGGACTGCTGTGTGTGTGGGTGTGTGTGTGTGTGTTTGTGCTAATTTAGTCTAAAGGGGTCATTGTCAGTCAGATTTAGAACAGGAAGTGGAACATTTGACAGAGAACTCTATTAAAAAATTGAACAAGTTGTACTTTGTGTGCTGACATGGTATCTGAAGGATGGGGCAGATGTTTTCTGTTAGGTGTAACTGTAACTTAAAGGGCTAGTCAGGCCATTTTTGAATTGATGTATTATTATCAGTATGAAAAGAGCCAAAGTATGTACAGGCATGGTACTAGCCCTACAAAACTCTTTCTCATTAATGACACAGGTGTGAAAGAACACTAAAATTTTCAGTGACTTTGTTATGGTTTCCTCAKCTTCAGCCTCATATGTATGATCCATGACAATGTGTTGAGATAAAATATAATATTGTCCCAGACCAGTGATRTACGACAAGTCTGGAGTAATTACTACTTAATGGTTAAAGACTTCTTTAAAGAAATATCAATATCACCCGCTGTCTTTCACCACAGAGTTTTAAACTATATACCTGAGAAAAGAAAGAGTTGTAAATGACACTATCTCACATATGTGAGTGACTCCCAGCTACTAGAAATTTTGAGCTCAGTGTCTGTAAAGTTGATAGAGTTACAATGTTACGTTGGCTAATGTTTAATAGCCATAGTGGCCATCTTGAATTAGATTTACTATGGAAGTGTACCAGTTACCAGAGCCTGAAGTAATACTTGAAAAATTACAGAAAATTGCTTTGGTAAAAATAAATTTTACTGATGCAAAAAATAATAAAATGAAAGTCATTAAACTGTTCACAAAAAAATTGGGAAAGTAAAAGTACTTTTACACACTCTCTAAAAAAATAAGCTGTTGAATTTACTGAACCAAAGTGGTTTCACTAAGCTAGGTTGAGTAAATGGATCARTATAATCTTTGCTCAGTTTACTCAACTAGGCTTAGTGGAGCCAGCTGATATGACTTTGTTGAGTAAATTCAATTCTTCATTTTTAGAGTGCAGAAACATCTTTCATGATGAAACATATTTAATGTTGTAAC